TGTAATTTCCACAGATACTTGTCTCTTTTTATTAGGCAGGCCATAGACGGAGCAAATTTATTTCCTGCAACCACAATCAATCAACTTGGGTATATTCAGTCTGTCCATACATGCTTCAAATCTTGGCTGGTTCACCAAGAACCTGCCGAGATTCAAAACCGTCTATGACCAGCTTATTGCCATTTTGGAATCGTTGGCAAAATTGGTGAGCATTGTAATGAATACATTAATCATGGACACCAGTGGGAATTAACAAAACTTGTATTGAAAGAATGGCTCAAGGATACAATAGCCCAGCGGGAAGGTTCCCAGCTGAGAACACTCACAGTTTTGTGCAGTATTGTAGGGTGGAGCAGGTTCTGATGCACTGACAGCATCTGTCTCTGAGGGCTGAATGCGCACTGGCCAGTCTAAACCCAATGGGGAGGATTCCTAGGAAGGATCGCATATCCCTATCCAGGGGCGGACTGACCATTTGGAAACTCGGGCACTGCTTGAGGGCCCGGGGTCAGTAGGGGGCCCCATGAGATGCCCCTGGTACCTTTTTCATAGGCTTTTTTTAATTTGGGCAAGGACACAGGGGCCTCATGATCCCCTATTGCCTGGGGGCCCCATGAGTTGTCAGTCCGCCCCTGTCCCTATCGTGTTCCTACTCGTCCAGAACCTTTCTCTACTGCTGTTCGCTTTCCCTGACAGATAGGTAACCTGTCCCTACACTATCCAATCACAAAATGCGTGCTAAGCCTGGGAACTAGGGTTTTAAATAGGCTCAGCCTTACCCAGGATGGCCACCAGAGACACATGAGACAGCGACATCCAACCAGATCGTTTCCCAGTGACCCAGCAAACCAAAGAAGAATAATTTCCTCCTGATTTCCTCTCCCTCTGTAATGCCACTGCTGTTTAAGCGCCACCTGCAGTGGACAAAAGAGACTGCACCTGCCTACACTTAGAAGTGTGCACATTACCTTCATTCATGGGTTCCCAGTCTGCAAGGAATTTTCTAGATGGAGTTCTGCTTTATAGTGGAACATTTTTTTTAAATTGAGTAGAGAAGGATTAGGAGGACAGGAGAAGGGCTGTCCTCTCAAAGGTGACACAGACAACAACAAAGGGCTTCTAGTTTATCACCTCTGTTAAGGTGGAGCTCCACCCAAAAGGGAAAGTTCCGATTTAAGCCTTTGTGTCCCGCTCCCCATTAAGGATTGACACCTTTGGGGAGCGGGCGTACCCAAATTTGACAAGTACCCAGTCCCACTTCCGCTGTGATCACCTAGGCCAGGGTTAGGCAACCTGCAGCTCTCCAGCTGTTGCAGGACTACAAGTTCCATCATGCCTCTGCAAGTCATAGCGGTAACTGTCAGTTTTGTAATGTTGCAATGCCTCATGGGAAATGTAGTTCTACAACAGCTAGAGAGCCGCAGGTTGCCTACCCCTGGCCTAGGTGATCGGAATTGGAAGTTGTCCTACCCTCCTCCCTCCCTGTAGTCTTCTGGGACACATGACAGGTCCCAGAAGACTACGGGGCCATTCACAAAGTGCAGCGCTTCTCGCGCATGCGCAGTGGGCACCCGGCTGTGAAGACGCAAGCTGTCACAGCCAGGTGCCCACACTGAAGATGCCGGTGCCAGGGAGGGAAGACGACCAGTGAAACCAGCCATGGTGAGGATACAGTTTTTGTAGCTGCTGACTTTTATTCATTTTTTTTCAGGTGGAACTCCGCATTAAATTTCTATTGCCCTCTTTTGTGCCTGATTTTCTTTTACTTGCTGTGGTCACGAGGGCAGGAAGTGAGTTGACATCTCCCCAGAGGGTAAAAAACTGTAACTCCTCATCCCCCCATTATTCAAAACTAATTTCGCTAGCGTTCTACTTGAACATAATATGAAAGAAAAATCTCAAACGTAATAAATCTACACTGTACCCCAAAAGTCTCAATAATGCTGTAACAGTTGGCTCATACAGTTGTGTCCAAAATTATTCAACCCCCACTGAAATTGAGTGTTTTGGCCAGTTTTTGACATTGCTTTTGATCATTCAGTCATCTTGCTTACATTTACATTAAAGAGGCACTTGTAGGTCAGACAAATATAACATAACAGTTATAATGAAATAACCACAAATGTCTTTTCTGTGCTCACAGCATTATCAGTTTTATTCAACCCCCAAGTGACATTCAATCTTAGTACTTAGTACAGCATCCTTTTACAGTTATAACAGCTTTTAAACGTGAAGCATAGCTTGACACAAGTGTCTTGCAGCGATCTACGGGTATCTTCGCCCATTCTTCATGGGCAAAGGCCTCCAGTTCAGTCACATTCTTAGGCTTGCGCACTGCAACTGCTTTCTTTAAGTCCCACCAGAGGTTCTCAATCGGATTTAAGTCTGGTGACTGCGATGGCCACTCCAAAATGTTCCAGCCTTTCCTCTGCAACCATGCTCTAGTGGACTTGGAGGTATGCTTGGGATCATTGTCCTGTTGAAAGGTCCAACGTCTCCCAAGCCTCAGGTGTGTGACGGACTGCATCACGTTTCCATCCAATATCTCCTGGTACTGAAGAGAATTCATGGTACCTTGCACACGCTGAAGCTTCCCTGTACCTGCAGAAGCAAAACAGCCCCAAAGCATGATTGACCCTCCACCATGCTTCACAGTAGGCAAGGTGTTCTTTTCATCATAGGCCTTGTTCTTCCTCCTCCAAACATAGCGTTGATCCATGGGCCCAAACAGTTCTAATTTTGTTTCATCAGTCCACAGAACACTATCCCACAACTTTTGTGGTTTGTCCACATGGCTTTTGGCATACTGCAGTCGACTCTTCTTATTCTTTGGAGACAGCAAGGGGGTACGCCTGGGAGTTCTGGCACGGAGGCCTTCATTACGCAGTGTGCGTCTTATTGTCTGGGCTGAAACTTCTGTACCCACATCTGACAAATCTTTTCTCAGTTCCTCAGCAGTCACACGGGGACTTCTCTCCACTCTACGCTTCAGGTAGCGCACAGCAGTCGAAGTCAGCATCTTCTTTCTGCCACGACCAGGTAGCGTTTCAACAGTGCCCTTTGCCTTGAATTTGCGAATGATGCTTCCTAAGGTGTCTCTTGGTATGTTTAACATCTTTGCAATCTTCTTATAGCCATTGCCCTTCCTGTGAAGAGAAATCACCTCTTCTCTTGTCTTCCTGGACCATTCTCTTGCCTTCACCATGTTTGTAACCACACCAGTAAATGTCTAGAAGGAGCTGAGTATCACAGTCATTTTAAAGCTGCCTAATTGGTGCTTATTATGCTTGATTGCTGCTCGGTGACATCCACAGGTGTTTTCAATACCTGATGGAAAGCACCTGTATGAACCTCTGTTCTTCAGAGTGGTAGTCTTTAAGGGGTTGAATAATTGTGGCAATGAAGAAACCACATAAGAACCATTTACTACTGTATTACATAAACAATTGATGTCATTTTAGTTGCATTTGGGTAGTTACAACGTCCTTGTAGGATTTGATTCTGAATACAATTCCAAATGTACACTATAGTCCCTAAACCCCTTTACAGCATTGGGGGTTGAATAATTTTGGACACAACTGTATGTCAAGAGATGGCCATAGAGAATAATCACTGCTTGCTTCAAGCTAAGGATATGTGTGGCCGGGTCCTAAAGCTTGTACTAGTTGCAAGAGTAGCAATGAAGCTCCAAATTGCTGTGCTAAGCAGCATAAACCACCAATTGGCACCAGAAAAATAAACGTGGATTGGCCTAGTTTCTATGGTGGAAGACAGAATCCATCAGTTCAAATTAAGGACACATTTACCTTTTAAGAAGTTGCTAAAGGCAACAACCTAAAAATAATAAAAGACTAATAACCAACCCAATAAGCACCTCCACAATGTTCAAAACGAAGTCCAATTGAAGTGACGTTTATGCAATACCCTACAACCAAATTTATCTGTTTTTACAGTTCTAGGCTAGTCTGCAGGTCCTTGTCACATGAGTTTTCACTTTATACTGTGATGTGTGAGACCAATAAATCATTCAACCAAGAATGACCAGAGATCCAACCAAAATATATCCAATTTTTTGCTGAGTGGGGAAGTGTTAAAACCTCTGTCGTGTTTTTATTGCTTATTGTGTCCCCATTGGTGGCCTTCTCCCCACTTCCTGTCCCAGTGACACAACAGAAACTAAAGATAGACAGAGCCAGGAATAAAAGCCCAACAGAGGTTCTAAGGCTCGTCTGCTGTTTTTAAAACAACAAAAAAAGAGAGTTTTATATTTGTAGCTTAGTCCTAGAATAGGCATGTCAATCTGGCAGTTTTTGGGCCACAGCTATGATGCTTTGCTTCGCGGCCATGGCAAAAAATTCTCAGTGAGCAGTGCTGTGGCATTTATGGGGTTAGAACACGGGATGAGGTAGCATTATATCGCAGATCGCTTTGGCGCAGCAATGCCATCGCTGACTAGCTGCATCTACTTTGAAGTAGATCATTCTTAAAGAGCCTCAAAGATCACAACAAAGACGCCAGTCAGATCCTTTCTAAGGGCTCAGTGAGCAGTGCTGTGGCATTTATGAGGTTAAAACACGGGATGAGGAGGCATTATATCGCAGATCGCTTTGGCGCAGCAATGCCATCGCTCACTAGCTGCATCTACTTTGAAGTCGATCATTCTTAAAGAGCCTCAAAGATCACAACAAAGATGCCAGTCAGGTCCTTTCTAAGGGCTCATTTACAAATGCTGCTAAGACTTCCATGCCTCCACACCACCTGTTTTAATTCCCGTGAATGCCACACCACCACGTTGCAACTGCATGCTGAACTTGCCAGGGAGTTTAATTCCTGCTGTGGCTGTGAAGCAAAGCATCGTGGCCGTGGCATGTGTGCATCCCTGTATGCTGCCTTTGCAGCCGAAGAGAAGTGGGGGCATTAAAAACATCCAAATCACAGGTTTTTACTGCTCCTCAACTGCAAGGGTGAAGGAGTCCGAAGAGTTTGTTTACTTTAGAGCAGGGTTGGGAAACTGTGGCCCTCCAGCTCTTGTAGAACTACAAGTCCCATGAGGCATTGCAAAACTGACAGTTACAAGCATGACTCCCAAAGGCAGAGGCATGATGGGACTTGTAGTTCGCCAACAGCTGGAGGGCCACAGTTGCTCACCCCTCCTTTAGAGGGTTGGCTGGAACAAATCTAAGGTTTCAGGACCTTTGCTGTGAAATTTGAAGATGAATTTCTTTCACAACGCCTGTAGCTGCAGAGGTGAATGAATGAAGTCTTTTTTTTTTTTTTTAAGTAATTTGTAGTGCTTGTTTTAAATATGTAAATATGTTAGTGTGCATAGTCTGGACACAGGTTCACTTTAAGGATGATAATTGAACAAGGCCATCGCTGTTTTCTTGTAGATCAGTAGTTCTCAACCTCAGTCTTCAAGTACCCCCAAACATATCATGTTTTCAGGCTTACCTTCACCTTGCACAGGTGCTTTAAAATCAATGGGCTTATGATGGCTCATTTATGTAAGGGAACTTCCTAAAACATGGGCTGTTGGGGACTGAAGTTAGGACCCACTGCTTTAGGTGAAGATTAAGGGCTCATGTACACTGCAGCTGATAAACTCACATTTAGGAGATGTTCAGCGTTTTTTTTCAGCAGCCCCTGAACTCTCCCTAATGTTTTCCTATGTGTCCATGTACACATCTTCGTTTACAGTCGTTTACAGGAATTTGAGTTTACAGTCGTTTTTTCAAACACAGAAAACTTGCGTTCAACAGTTGATTTTATCAACGTTTCAAACGCAAAATGCTTGTAAACACATAATAAACGAATTTATTATTATTATACAGGATTTATATAGCGCCAACAGTTTGCTCAGAGCTTTACAATATAATAAGCGTTTGCATTTTAAACATTTTTTTGAACTCTTCCAGTTCCCGATGCTGTCCAGAGACTTTTCTCATCATAAAAAATGCATGCAAAGCGTTTTCAAGGTACTCAGATGGACAAAACACTGAACACAGGATGTTCCTACAAAGCTTGTCACACATTGTAATGACCAATTCACACCTCAGACCTCTCCCACCCTTGGAAACAAAATATATGTTAATGACCATTCACACCCTCAAATTCCTCATGAAGACCCCCTGCCAGGTGGCCTTAAGGACTCCCTCCACCAGACACCTTTCCCACCCTTGGAAACAAAAGAAATGTTAATGAACAACTCACACCTAAGATAGTCTCAACACATACTGCTGTCTCTGCTTCTACTCTCATTATTTCTTTGAAACCGTCTGAAATAGTTAGTAATTTAACACTTTTCAGTGCATTCTGGGCATTTGGGAGGTTCTCCTGTGCTTATCTTTAAAAAAACGATTCTAACCGCAAACGCGCATAAACGCGGTATGCAAACGCTGCTAAACAGACATTTTTTAACCTATGTTTTCCAGCAGTCAGTTTTCATCATTCAGAAGTGTCCCGTGTACATGGGGCCTAAACCTCCCCTACATGATTTTAATAAGGAATACTTCAGGACATGTTTTATGGCTTCCTTTTCGGAGATTAAATGTTGCCTGTTACATTTGTTGCTATAATGCACGGGTGTCAAACTGGCGGCCCTCCAGCTGTTGCCAAACTACAAGTCCCATGAGGCATTGCAAGATTAATAGTTACAAGCATGACTCCCAAAGGCAGAGGCATGATGGGACTTGTAGTTTGACAACAGCTGGAGGGCCGCCAGTTTGACACCCCTGCTATAACGGTAATTACCAAGCAGCTACAGATGTTTTTATGGCACAGGCTTCTTTTAGATTTGCTTTGCTCTCTGAAGTGCAGTCCGCGTATTGCCTCCTCGCAGGGGCGGACTGACCATTTGGAAACTTGGGCACTGCCCGAGGGCCCGGGGTCAGTAGGGGGCCCCATGAGATGCCCCTGGTACCTTTTTCATAGGCTTTTTTGAGTTTGGGCAAGGACACAGGGGCCCCATGATCCCCTATTGCCCGGGGGCCCCATAAGTTGTCAGTCTGCCCCTGCCTCCTCGCAGGAAAACATGGCTCAACCATGTGGTCCCCCCAACCATCAATGCAAACGAGCCCATAAGGTGTGGCCCTCAGTAGGCATACCAAGGCTCCTTGAAAAATTATTTCACTGAAAGTGATTCATTTGGTTTTTGTCATGACTGGAATAAAGTTTTCTGACTTTATCTGTTCAGTTAGTACACCAATCTTGGGATGTCAATAATAGGGCGGACAACAGGGCACGATCAATACCAGAATTAATAAATCATTCGGTAGGTTGTGTTCATTCCCTCATTATAAGTACAACATTTTTCATTTTGACCGAAGTGTTGCATTCGCTGACCTTTAAAAGTTCTAATTTCAATAAAAGCTTCCTTTAACTACCGCAAAATGATACCGCGATCCCTCTACAGCAAGTATCAAGGTTGAGAACTCGAGATTTATGGAACAAGTTTAGTCAAAGTTTTTCCTCCCTTGTAAGATCGAGCATTTAATTGATAATACCAGTGCGTACGAAGGTCTGTCTCCAGCTTGGCAGCATCTCTGTGAAGAATCGTTAACATATTGAGGTCTTTGCGGGGAAGCCAGCTGGCTCACGCTGGGTACAATTATCAGCCGGGACACATTATTTGAGATCTCTCTGGCATGCGCGTCCCACTGCTGTGAAGCTCTGAACTTAAGTGCAGTGCCAGTTGGCGCGGCACTGATGAGAGACAGTGCTCAAGGACAATGTTACAGAGGTTGTAGTCAGGGATTGTGTTGAATTAGGAAGCCGATCTCAGGGTTGAAGTTAGGAACTGTGACGTTATTAATGGAAGACCCTGTCATAGAAGAGAAAGAAGATGGAAAATGTCTCCAGCAGACAGCAGCACCACGATTAGGTGGTTCTAGTTCTTACATGAGCGTCAGCACTAGGATTTACAGGGGCTTTCTGCACCAGGATTATGTGGTTCTAGAGTTTACAGTGGCTTCTGCACCAGGATTATGTGGTTCTAGAGTTTACATGAGCATCAGCACTAGGATTATGTGGTTCTAGAGTTTACAGGGGCTTCTGCACCGGGATTATGTGGTTCTAGAGTTTACAGGATCTTCTGCACTGGGATTAGGTGGTACTAGAGTTTACATGAGCATCAGCACTAGGATTATGTGGTTCTAGAGTTTACAGGAGTTTATGCACCAGGATTATGTGATTCTAGAGTTTACAGGATCTTCTGCACCGGGATTATGTGGCTCTAGAGTTTTACAGGAGCGTCTGCACTGGGATTAGGTGATTCTAGCGTTTACATGAGCATCAGCACTAGGATTATGTGGTTCTAGAGTTTACAGGAGTTTCTGCACCAGTATTATGTGGTTCTAGAGTTTATAGGAGCTTCTGCACCAGGATTATGTGGTTCTAGAGTTTAAAGGAGCTTCTGAACTGGGATTAGGTGGTTCTAGAGTTTACAGGAGCTTCTGATCCAGGATTAGATGGTTCTAGAGTTTGCAGGAGTTTATGCACCAGGATTTGGTGGTTCTAGAGTTTACAGGAGTTTATAAACTGGGATTAGGTGGTTCTAGAGTTTACAGGAGCTTCTGCACCAAGATTAGGTTTGACCGTTCTAATTGTGGACAATAGGGTGCGACTTGGCATACGATTTGCAAGTCGCCTGCCAACTCGCACCCGATGTGATTATGTGGTTCTAGAGTTTACAGGAGCTTCTGAACTGGGATTAGGTGGTTCTGAACTGAGATTAGGTGGTTCATGCAAAACATGTTAGCTGTATCCTGCCATGTAGCCAATCAAAAATTGATGCAATGCTAGTTACCTTCATTGTATTAGAGCAGGGGTGTCAAACTGCGGCTCTCCAGCTGTTGCGGAACTACAAATCCCATGAGGCTTTGCAAGGCTGACAATTACAAGCATGACTCTCAAAGGCATGATGGGACTTGTAGTTCTTTGACAGCTGGAGGGCCACAATTTCACATCTGTTATTAGAGGATTAATGATACAAATGCAAAACTAGTTAAAAACATGTAAACATACAAAGAAATGTAAAGAAATCATACAAATGTACCCAATACTACTAAAGTGTCCCTTTTATAACACAATGAAATAATGAATAGCTTAGAATCTGGGTGATATGATAATAATGAAATACCCTTCTGGTCCCCCTGAATTGCTTTGTTAAACTTCCACATGTGATTGTTTTTTATTTTTTTAATTCTAGAACAATGGAGGACCTTATGCCGGCCCCGAAGCTTGCCCCTGTGTGCACAGCATTCACAGCCCATCCTTACTGCCTGTCAATGTGGAGAGAAAGATAACATTAGTTGGGAAGAACTTTCATCATTATCAGGTATTAATGTGTTTTGTTCTGGTGACGGGATTAGTCATTTGCAAGTGTACAATCCAAACGCACACGTTCCTGCGTTTAAAAATGGCTGTGTGTATAAGTGGGTGCTGCAGCAACCTTCGCCTGGAACCGAACAAAATCAGCAAGGAAAAAATGTCACCAGCACACCGAGGATCACCAATATGGGTCCAAAGGTTTTAATAAACGATCACATAGTTACAGCAAGGCAACGTTTCGGAGTCTTGCAGGACCCCTTCATCAGGATTAGTCATTTAACACACTGACACAGCAGCTTACATGTGCCAACCTTGTCCGTCTTCTCCTTTTTGGAATCCACATGTCCCAGCAAGCCCAGTTAGAGGTTGGCACAGCATTGTGGGTTTATTTATGGGTTTTTATTTATAAAGAAAAGAAAATCACTCTGCATATGTGTCAAACATTTGCACAGCTGTCATGAATCTCCACTATAATTTGCCTAATGTGTTTATTTCTAGGATCGTCATCTCCACCTAGTGGCCATAATGTGGTATTTTTCTGAAATACCTCAATGGAGGAAAGTACCACAATATGGCCACTAGATGGGTAGAAGTGGAAAACCCAGTTACTCCTGTGCTTGGGGATGGACTCAATGTCATTAAGACCACATATGGAAATTCTTGGGTTATGCACGCCTTGCTGCCCTCAAAGACTGGGGGAGTCCAAAGTACTGAATAGAGAAAAACAAACAGAGGGCGCACCGGCCTAGTGCATTACCTTAAAAATGTTTAATGAATGTAAATAATAAGTATTATACTCACAAATGATCAATAAATAAAAGGCACA